AATCTGACTACTTCGACTTTAGCCTGAAAACGCTTGATCGCACCGGAAATCTAGTGAGTGTTGCTACCTGGGTCTGAAATAAAATGGGCTGAAAATATTGCTCTTTTTAATAAATAACATTTTACGCACGAAAAGAGCCAGTAGTGTAATAGTTATAAAGCACAATAATAAACTGCATCGGTGAAATTCCAGCCCTCGAAAGAGTGCTGCCTTCTGTAGTTTAAAGCTCCTCCTGGGCCAGAAACATACAAAAATACATACATACGCACGCACAAGCACACACAAACTTTAATAATACAATTATATCCGTCCTTTTCCAATTTTTTTCTTTCGTGTACTTTAACATGACGTTTTGTGGCATTATGATCTTTAGAAGATTCTGATATTATACTGAATGAGATTTGGGATTTCCTACAAAGCACCGCGCCCTTAACTTGTTTCGTTTGTATCAAAGTACTTTGACTCTATTTAGAGCAAGTGTATAAAAAGGCTGTTCTCGCGCTCGTTTTGCAGAGATTTACCAAAACATATAACAGCTAAAATAACGTGTTTGTTATAATGATTAGCAGTGTAGCTGATAAGTAGCCAGAACTTTTTGTCCAAAAAAACTATGTAGCACACAGTTTTTTTTTGGTAAATGTAAGTGTGAACTGCTGAGAGTAGCACCACAATGCTGATCATTCTCTTTCTATATATGACGGCATCATCCGTGCTAATAACGATATCTTCTAGAGGACAGATGAATGCGTGTTTGCAGCAGTGTGTGTTTTATGATGGCTGTTCATCGAACAATGCTATAAAATCCAGCATGAGCGATAACAGCGATCAAACGGTAGCCGACAGCAATAAAACTGACAAAAATACTTACCAACGATAACAAATGCGACAATAAGTGACAGAAAAATGTAATCAACGACCACGATATCGCCAAGACCGACGGTGACAATGAGGTTGAAACCAAAGTGGAAAGCGTGGATAAAAGACCATGAACTTTCCCAGTTAATGAACATAGCCGAACCCATGGAGCAGTACAAGCAGATACATGATACATAGGCCCCTAAATTATGACGCTGTCGTGAATGATAAGAGCTCAAACACATCTTTACACTGACTCTTCCAATCTGATTTACACAATCACGGTTTTTAAACCAAATAATGCTATTGGAAATAATCAGAGCAGTCAGCACTTCAAAGCATTTTTATTTGACATTTTTTATGTAGTGCGCTCATAGGCAGATAGGTCGGTTACCTGGTGGAAGGAGCGACGGGGAATGCGAAAGAGAGTTTTCTTCAGTTTTAGCTTTAAATCCAGACTTTTGTAGCAGTGGTGCCCGTGTCGCTGAGGGAGGGGGGAAGGGGGGAGGAGGAGGGGAGCAGGGGAACGGAGGGCGTAGGCGCGCCTTTTGTGTTGCTGCGGATGGGAAGGTAAGCAGAGACGAATAAAACAGATTATTTATTTAATATATTTACGTGTAGTAATACGAATTGTCTGTTTCCCTTCCTGCACAACCGGGCACAACCGGAACGGAGTATGCAGTCGTCGGGAGGCAGCCGAGGAGTGGTCGAGATGTGAGGTGAAGGAAGCCGTTGGCAGAGACAACATTACGTAGCTGGAATGAGCAAAAGACCAAGAATAAGAGATCATGAGGCAAGATACGGGGACTTTTATAAGGTGTAAGAAACACCTTATCACCGTTCGACGATAAGGCGTCAAGAACGTTAAAAGGAATTAAAAGCATCATGAGAAAAACGAGACTTGGAAAACATCGCTGGTTTTACAACCGGCGGTAAAATAGATAGATAATATTTTGCACAAAAACCACATAAATTACTTTTAACATAAAAACCATACACTATGACTCATACACACAAAATAAAATATATAATATTAACATATAATATTGTCTTTCGGCGACAGTATGGGGCTGAAACTTTGTAGGGATATTTCCTGTGCATTTGTTAGTTAGAGATTTCAAATTCAGCCCCCACGTATGCGTGGTACTCAAGTAAGGGCATATGAAAGTTTCTGCAGGAAAAATACTAAGTCGGTAACCAGGAAAGTTGGAAGGCTGAAATTATGGGGAGATTTTTCCTGTCCAGGTGCAACTAAAATATTTCAAATTCAGCCTTGAGGTATGCGTGGTTTTAACGGAAAAATTTCTCATTGAACAGCCAGGTTACTTTTAAAGAACGGCCGTTAAATGGAAATTGTACGTTTACTTTATGCAAAATTTATGGTGATTTATACTAGTGACCGCAAAAGGTAGGTGTAGAGCAATAATCATTGATGCAGATAATGACCTGAGTAATTCAAGTCTAGTGCAAAAACGTATGATGGCACGGGCCTGCTCGGTGCATTCCAGTCTGGATTTTATTTCCATTTTTATACGTTTTTGCAATCATTTGCAAATGCAAAACGCATATTTTCGAGAGTTTGCCTGCGTGTATGCATGTGTGTGTGTGTGTGTATGTGTGTGCGGAAGTGAGTGAACTTTGCCATCCACTTTCAACTTATCAACGGGAAAAAATGGGATACTGAAATTATGAGAGTATATTTCCACCATATGTGTCATCCTGCCGTTTTAAAATCAACACTAATTCACATTTAGATCCCACTGGCGGACACTTGAAAACGATGTAAATTTTTTGGCAAGAAACAGTTTTGGAATTCAATAAAGGTAGGATGCTGGAGCTTTGTAGGTGCTTTCTCTGTCCATGTGTGAACTGGGGATTTAAAATTCAGCTAATGAGCCTGCTTATGTCAAGCTTATAAACACGCCAAATTTCACAATCGGCACCGCGCCAATTCGAGAATTAACTGGGAAACAATAGCTGAAATTTTGTCAGAATATTTATCATACATCTGGAAAAACGTATGCCTAAATGGAGTTTCAAATTACACTTGCGCCACACCTTAGGCATGACAAAGATATCTGCAGCGAAGTGACGTTTTCAGGTACCAGTGATGCTGAAATTTTGCAAGGATATTTTATATTTACGCATGATCTAAGTTAAACCCCAGGATTAAAATGTCTGAAAATTAAAATTTTATGAGAAAAGCCTCGATCGAATACATAGGTATAATCAACAAAGACTTTCTTGGTACCCTGAACCCTAGTTTCCCATCTCAAATCCAAGTTCAAGCAAATTTCAAAGCTACAAAAAAAAGGCAAAAGTTAGGAATATATTTCTTATAGGGTGCATATGGGGAAGGTTAAAATCATTTTCTCTATTTTCCTGTTTTTAGCTTTTATTTTCAGGTTTTAGTTCAAGCAAATTTCATAACTGGCTAGCCAAGAAAAATCTAAGCTCACAGATTTTGAGGAGACAGTTTCTGAATCTGCAAGACGGTGAAGACCTGAGAGCCTACATTTAGAAGATTATATTATCTTGATGTCAAATTTAGGAATATGAGACTATGCCGGTGTGCACAAAGAACTATCGTGATGGACAAAAAGAAATAACTGTTTTGTCACATACGTCTGCGGTAAGCCATAGCTTACTGCAAAAAGCACAGCCCCGACGGTTTCCTGGTGCTTGTCGCTAATGGTAGTACTTATTAGTCTCCTTCCCTGTGTTGCATGCAGTTTAATATTGTTGGGTGCTGTCTTATGACTGAAGTGAAGAGAGGGAAATGGGTA